CGAAGTTCTATTTATACGATTAATTTATGTAATAGGGTTTTCTAAACTTTTGTTGGATGATTCAACATAACTTCTTTATTCAAGCGTGGACTTGGGGTCAATGTTCAAATTCATCCAAACAAGCGGAGGAAGTTGGTTACATTTACACTAGCCCTCACGCAAGCGATACACATGTAAGGGATTGCGTTCTGCGTCTCTTTACTCCTCCAAAGAGATAAACAAAAAGAAAATTATTACGGTGAATAGAAATATTAGTGCGATGAAAAATTTTGGACATGAGATACTTATAAGTATCAATAGAACAGCATAACATGCATGAAGGATTTAGTTCCAATTTATATCATTAAATGCATTAGAAAGTACTTTATAGAGCTATCAAATGTTCATTGCCGTCGTAATTATTGATTTTCAACCGCAACATACTTGATGACAGATTGGGCAGCTGTATTAAGGAGGAGAGAACTCAGGAAACCGTGTGTAATTAGAAACAATATAGAACTTAATAACAAATTCAAGGATATATTAAAAAACTATGCAAATGTGGAAGTATACAGTCTAACTATCTCATGATGCGAATCTCACGTTACTAAAATTAAAGGCTTACGGATTAAGCAGTCCGTGAGGATATCGATTATAATTTGAATGGCCATGAGGAATTCCTATGGAACCATAGATGAACTCAGTACAAAAGTTGGGGAATTGCAATAAAAGAAGAAGAACAAAAGAAAGCAATCCCAGAAAATCAAACTAACCTGCGTGACAATGTGGTGAGAGAAAACGGAAGATGTGGAAGAGGGGAAGATGGCATGATGCAAATGAAGTCCAGTGGGTGCTGGGAAGTTGTCAAAAGAAGCAGTGACACTCTTAGGACTCATTTTGGAGATAAGGCCACCCAATGGAGGCAAATGTGTAATTTAAGGAGAGTCCAAACAAAATTTTCTTCTCCAATTGAAGGATAGTGTACGAGAAGAAAAGAAAAAGTGAGTGGAATAAAGATTTTGGGTTAACATTATAGAAATTGATGTCACAAAAGCGGAATAATGTTTTATGAGATTTTATTTGGCTTAATATTATAGAGACAATGTGAAATAACCTGAATAATGTCTTTTTACAGATCCTATCCCTTTTATGCAGTTTTTTTACCTTATTTTTCGGGACGACAGACACGTGTTTTGTATGTGAAAAAAAATTAGTGGGAATTTCAAAATAGAAGCAAATCATTTAATACAACATGTAGTTCAAACTGATTTGTGTAGGATCTAATATAGTGATGGTCACTTAATGAAAATTCAATATAGTAATTCTTGTAAGTAGATTTTCTTGCGTGTAGGTATTATGTCTAATAGATGAAAATTCTTATAGCTAAACGGAGATGAGGTCCCGGTTGGAAGAATAACAGATGGAACAAGAGCTGAGGTCCCGGTTGGAACCGAATGGAGTCGATAGCTCGACAGATCAGCTCCCCTATTTTTCGGGAAGTAGGGCTCGGCTTTATTCCTCTGGGGAAGAAATAGTCTGACGTCAGAAAATAAAGAAGGAAAATAAAGCTTCACCTAAGCTTGAAGAATCCAAAAGGGCCATAAAAGACACTAGAGTTCTTTTCACCCATCGAAGAAGCAGCATAACCCAAGCCCCTATACAAAACAGCCAAAAGAGGCGCCCAAGTGCAAGATGTCTGCCTTCGGCAAGCCGAGAAGTTAAACTGGTTAGGTCATTTGCTTTTTGGAGTGAGGGTGAAAGAATACGAACTTAGACAGCCAATATAAAAGAAAGCCAACATGTTCATCATCAGCTGGTTAACCTGTCCTATTCTCATATTTACCCAGAAAGGGACTATAAGACAGGTCGGTATCCTTACCCAAAGAAGGACAGTCAGTTGAACGGAGCAAGGATCCTCACCCCAAGGACTGAGACCGGTAATTGCATATAAATAAAGAAGGGTCACTGTTAAAGGTCCCGAACAGAGGAAAAAAAAAGTTAGTTGAGGATGACCAGAAGCTAGTAAGACGACCGAGAAGTTTAGGGTTAAGTTTCCAATCGAAGGTACGAAACTCGAGGCTCTGTCAATCTTAGCAGCTTGCCAAACATGGTTCTTATGAGGCTTAAGTCTTACGTATCATTCAAAAAAGGCAAGATCAAAGTAAGAAAAAGACATAAGCCGTTGAGATACTGGGGTCCAAATATAATAAACTATATGTTCCTTTTGGAATGGAAGAAATTCAGTTGCATGTCGAGGGAAACAACCTCAAAGAAACTTCGGAACGCTATGTTTGAAGAAACAGGGACCGATGACAATCACTTCTGGTGCCTCCTCGAGACAGTCTAACAACGACAAAATGGAGTTGTCTTTATTCTCTGGAAGCCGAAGTTGGTCCAGCCGAGACAAAAAAGCCAAAGGATCATAAGAAGGAGACATGGTAAGACCCGAAGGAAGGTGAAAAAGCTCCAAGGAGAGAAAGGTTGAAGAAAATGAAGCAGCAGAATAAAAATTCGATCTTGAAATTATCTCTGACAACAATCATAAAAGCAAAAGGAGATTACAAGAGCGGAGCAGATCACACCACCCGTCGGCTCGAAGAGAGAAGAACGAAGTCGGGGATTGGCCAAAGATTTCAAAAGTCGAAACCGACGGCCAAGGATATCTGCGGTATGTATTTAAAAGAATAGAAATGGGACATATGTTAACATCCATAAACAATCTTCACGGGTCGCGGCAAATTGATAAAGCCCAGAAGTGCCATTAAGAAATCAGCCCATGGGTTAAAAGAAGCCTGTGGATAAGGACGGCAGCGGTTACCGATGGTTCAGTGCGAGCGTTGTTTCAGAAAAACAAGATAAACGAACGGTAGACAAATTACCGAAGAGACCGTGAAGGCCAAAATTCAACCACCTTATGGATAACAAAATGTTGTTGCTAGGAAAACATCCCGAATGTTTCGGGAATAGTTTGAATTTGAAATAATAATCACCCTGATGATTATTTCCCTGATCTGGCTATAAATAGCAGACACAAGTAATTGTTGTCGGGATTCACACTCAATCAATGAAATAACATATCTTCAATTTCGCCACTTATCTTTCTTATTTGCATTCACTTTTACCCTTTTATATAATTTTATTGTTTACTTTGTCCTTAGTTTTTGTTTAGTTATAACCGAATTCTTCCTTTTTGAACCGACACATAACCGAATATACACAAAAAGCCGAAGAGCTAACTTTGATAAAAGGTATTTCGTCAATGACTGTTTTCGGTGAGACAGGAGCATAATGGAATGACTCGGCAAAAGTACGAACCAATCTTGATGTATCTCTCGAAGAGTTCAAAATTCAGACGACTTTTTTGTACCGCGGCTTCTTCAACGGTGAACTTTGAGAGGGCCCGACAGCTTTTTAGTCGGTGCCTTCCTATGTCACTTTCAATGGGGCTTTAGATGGAGACTTTGAGAGGGCCCCACAGTTTTTTTAGTTGCACCGCAGCGTCTAGTGAATTTTTTCAATGGGGCTTTATGGGGGCACTTTGAGTAAATTATTGGGTTTATTTCTTGGACATTACTCGGTGCCTTCCTTTGTCACTTTCCTTTGCTTGCAGTTTAGTGCACGACTACATGTTTTTTAGTCTTCGGATCAGGTGTCTTGGTCTTTGATTAACATACTTTTCGATGGGGAATTCGCTTTTGATCTCCTCATCACTTGTATCGGTCGGTCTTGGCATTTTCCTTGGTGGTTTGGTGGACGCAGAGGGACTCGTACGAGGACGAAATACATAAGGATAGTAATAAATAGGTCGAAAGTAAATTTTTCTCTTGGAAAGTTACTATTCACATTGAAATAGAACTAGTTATTACTGACACATACATACATACATGCCTTACAATGTTGTCTCTAACTGATGATCAGGTTTATCAATCAACTAAGAGATGATTCTAACTGATTAAGCTGTTGTTAGTCAAGTGATAGTCGTCAATGACCATGACCCGCTAATCAATCGCGCTTGATCTTCAAGTCTTCCAGTTTCTTTTCCAAAGTGGGGGGCCTTAGGACTTTGTGGGCATTAGTTGACTTCAAGTCAACAGCTGGAAAGCCATCTAGATGCGTCCATCATCCATCCCTGAAACCACGCTTGATCATCAGTATTCCAGTTTCTTTTCCAAAGTGCAGGACTTTAAGACTTTGAGGGCCTTGGTTGACTTCAAGTCAACAGCTGGAAAGCCATCTAGATGCGTCCATCATCCGACCCTGAATACACGCACTTGTATAGGCACAAGCCAAAGGACCTGTTCGCTTCATTCCGATGGGCACATTGTTTCGGAGCAGCTTCTTTCCACCTTCTGGTGAACTATTTGTTGATCAGATGAGAGTAACAGCTGTGCAGTGTCTGTTGTTCACAATTGAGGACCTGTCGTCAATGTGCTTACATGGAAAAAAAAAAAAAGACGCTGCAAATCCTTCTGCGGAGTCGACGGGTCAATGATCTATGCTTGATACCTTCTCATTCTATGAATGATTACTCTTGTTTTGGTTAAGGAATCATTCTCAGCGCATGTCACTCCTTTTCATATCCGCTTGTCCACTGCTGGACTTGTATAAAACGAACCCATGGCATCACCCGTCCATACCCTTTCCCCTTGTTTTTTGCCCCTTTTCAATTCGTACGTGACTTCATCGTAACCAGTTATCGAAGAACTAGATACAAGAATACAACATTTTAAACTTGTAATGCTTATGAGATAGGACACGAATTACGCAACGTCCTGCTACGAACTAACGTCATGTTTGGTTCAGAGGCATGCGTGTTCCACGGAATCAACGAGTGCCGTTCACGCAAAGAGCATTAGTAGCCTCATTCTATGGAGTCAACGAGTCCGTGGTTGATGGTCGACAGGTCTCCTTCACTAGCTGTCGAATCAAAAAGGGCCACCTCCTTATAATTTATAGATCTCTTCACGTCCAGTTGAGTTAGCACGTACCAATATCTCTTGTTTCTTCTCAATTTTCAACTTATGGAACCTCGAAGCTTTAGCTTTGCAGAGTTTCGATCATGCCATTTCGTCGTTGGTATCGTGCTCGCATTGGGCATTACCCAAGTCTCCTCTACCACAAACGAAACCGACAAGCTATCGCTGCTCGCATTTAAGGGCGGAATAACTGAGGATCCTCTCAGTGTGCTCAGCTCGTGGAATAATAGCATGGGGTTCTGCCAGTGGCATGGTGTCACGTGCGGTCGCAGGCACCAAAGGGTCATGGTACTCGACTTGCGTTCACACAAACTCTCTGGCTCGATCTCTCCTTATATTGGGAACCTTAGCTTCTTGAGAGAATTGTGGCTCGGAGACAACAATTTCGATCATGTAATCCCTCCGCAAATCAGCCGGTTGAGCCGCCTACGAATCTTACGGCTGGGGATGAATTCATTGGTTGGTAAGATTCCCGAAAACATATCAGCTTGCTCTAATCTTGTCACCCTCATTCTTACGTACAACCATCTATCTGGAAAAATTCCTGCACAAGTTGGTTCATTATCGAATCTACGGATTTTTTATTTGGATAGAAATAATCTAACTGGAAGCATGCCTTGCTCCATTGGGAACTTATCTTCACTAGAGTGGCTTTCTATTAAGGAAAATTACTTGGGTGGGAGCATTCCTCCAGTCTTAGGCCGCCTGTCGAAATTGCATCACTTTTATGTATATGATAACAAACTGTCCGGCCCAATTCCAACCGGAGTTCTAAATCTCTCTTCTTTAATTGTCTTCGATGTGAAATTCAACCAAATTCGAGGGAGTCTTCCTGCAGACATAGGCTTTACACTTCCGAATCTTCAGTGTTTTAGCATTAGCGTAAACCTATTTGAGGGACAGGTTCCTCCGTCAGTATCAAATTGCACAAAGCTAGAGACGCTTCAACTTGCAATGAACAAATTTTCAGGTAGGGTGCCTTCTTTGGAAAATTTGCACGAGCTTCGAATGTTCACCAATTTCGAAAATCAGCTCGGGCATGGAAAACCCGAAGACTTGAATTTTGTTTGCTCACTGACAAACGCCACGAAGTTAGAGATATTGTCTATTTTTGGCAACAGTTTCGGCGGAGTGCTACCTAAATGCATAGGTAACTTATCCATCACCCTCACCCTATTTGATGTGAGTGACAATCTACTATTTGGAGACATTCCTAGACAGATTGAAAATTTTGTCAACCTCGAAGTATTGATTATGTCCAAAAACAAGTTTTCAGGTGTTCTACCCTCGAATTTGGGGAATCTACAAAAATTGCGGATACTAAGGTTAAGTGGTAACTACTTGGGAGGGACAATCCCATCTTCTCTAGGAAATCTAACCAAGTTGATTCAACTATTTTTGGATGGAAACAACTTTCAAGATCAAATCCCTTCAGAACTGTCCAACTGCCACTTTTTGAACCAGCTCTCTCTTTCTAGTAACAATCTCAGTGGTACCATACCCCCACAAATTATGAGTAATTTATCACAAATCATCTTTTTTAACTTGTCTTATAACCGTCTGACGGGAGTTCTACCCATGGAAGTAGGCAACTTGAGATTTTTGACCGCATTGGACATCTCTGGAAATATGTTAGGAGGTGAAATTCCAAATAGTTTAGGTGATTGCGTGGCATTGCTATCATTGAGGATGGGGGCCAATTACTTCCATGGGTCCATTCCTCAGTCGATGAGATCGTTAAGAGGCATTGAAGAACTTGATCTTTCACACAACACTTTTTCCGAGGAAATTCCACAGTTCTTGGAGGTATTTCATTCTTTGAAAGTTCTGAATTTGTCTTACAATAATTTTCAAGGCATGCTGCCGCGTGAAGGAGTCTTTAAGAATGCTACCTCTACTTCTGTTATTGGGAATGCTAAGCTTTGCGGTGGGTTGCCAGAATTTCAGCTTCCTAAATGCAATTCCAGTAGCTCCAAGAGTAGGAAAGTCCATCTTGTATTGAGATTGTCGGCTGTTGTTATTTGTGGCCTTCTTGGAATTGCTCTTGTTCTTGCTATGCTATATCTCTGTTGGTGGAAGAAGCAAGTACAAGAACCGGTTTCAAGTTCTATTGATGAGTTATGTCCGAACGTATCTTATGGAACACTCCTAAAAGCAACCGATGGTTTTTCTTCAGCCAATTTGGTTGGTGTTGGAAGCTTTGGTTCTGTTTACAAGGGGGTACTTGAGGATAATGGGACTGTCGTTGCAGTTAAGGTGCTTCATTTGGTGGGCCTAGGTGCTCTGAAGAGCTTCATTGTTGAGTGCCAAGTTTTAAAGAACATCCGACATCGAAATCTTTTGAAAATACTAACAGTTTGTTCGAGTGTTGATTATCAAGGAAACGATTTTAAGGCCATGGTATATGACTTCATGGACAATGGAAGCCTGGAACAGTGGTTACACCCAAAAGCAATGCGATCTCATGGAAATGAGCCTTTGAAAAAAGTGAATTTCATTCAGAGGATAAATATTGCTACTGATGTTGCTTTTGCACTAGATTATCTTCATCACCAGTGCCATATCCCCATCATTCATTGTGATCTAAAGCCAAGCAATGTCCTCTTAGATGCTCAAATGGTCGCACATGTGGGCGACTTTGGATTGGCAAAGTTCCTCCTTGGATCATCCCATGATACTGTAGCTAACCAAATGAGCTCCGTGGGTCTACGAGGGACAATTGGTTATGCTTCACCAGGTAATCTCTCTACTTTCTATTCTAATGGTATGAGCTCCACATTCATTTTTATGATAGGCACTCCTAATTTCATTTGCATTATCATCTAAATGTATGGCAGAATATGCAATGGGATGCGAGGTCTCGAGAGAAGGTGACATCTACAGTTACGGCATCCTCTTACTAGAGATGTTCACAGGATTAAGTCCCACTGACGACAAATTTGGAGATAATTTCACTCTCCATAGTTTTGTCACGGCAGCTTTGCCTGAACAAGCGTTGGAAATTACGGATCAAATTCTGCTTCTAGAAAGGGAGAGTCGTTTCGACCCCAACAGTCCTCAGCATTGGCTTTCCGAAAGCGATAACATATTTCAAGAGTGTTTGGTTATGGTATATAATATTGGAGTAGCTTGTTCTGATGAAGTGCCTGGAAGACGGATGAGCATCAGTGGTGTTGCAAGTCAATTGCAAAACATTAGGCGAAAACTCTTTGCATTGGGTTTACATGAACAAGATGAACATCCGCGGGTGATATGATAATTTCTTGACCTCTAGCGTCTTAAATATTTAGCTTTGCTTATGCTAGTGCAAACACACATGTAAAATCTGTAGCAAAATAGAGAATCAATCATGTGTCTCCATTAGAAGCTAATAGTCGATTGTCATTACTCATTCTCTCTCTCTATATATATATTAAGCTAGCATATGTCCCTTATTGCACAGACCTTTTTGTAATATCTGTTAAGACGAAACTTGACCTGAATCGAAGTGTGGGAAAGTCTGGCTGCATAAAGAAAGTTCGAATTGGATTTTGTGACCGCCTTCTTCAAAACCGAATCCTTTTTGCATGTTGGAGTCGAAGGTACTGTTGGTATTTTGAGCGTGAGAAGAGGACTTAAATTATGATATTTGGGTATGACTTTGACCAAGGGTTTTGCATGATTCATGTAAGAATTAACATTTCGTACGTAGCTATGACGTAAAATAATAATTACAAATGACTCTTTTGATTAAATATATAATTAGAGATAACTCTAATGAGATAATTTTTTTGATGCATTTCTAACTTGTACTAAAGTGTTCATTAATAAGTTATCCAATCATAACAAAATGTTAGCAGATATGTTATAAATAAATGAATATTGTAAAATGATAGAAAAAAAGAATACTAGCAAAATCAACAAACAAAAAAAGTTACCGGTGACGGTCAACGACGCGGCGGAAGCTCATTTCGCGATGCAAGGGTGGTAATAACCCTAAAATCATGATGCTGCTAGCTTTTTACTGCCATGAGAATTGCGAATACAAAAATATGACGCAATAATGCTTTTGGTTAGGAATTGGATTCCGACGATCAATTTGTAGATTTTATAACGTGTAACGGAAACCTTTTGAATGAAAAATTTAGGTACCAACAGACATTATGTTGTAACTAACAATTTTTTCATCATAGTTTTGACACAAAAAAAATACAGTGCAACCTCGTGTTCGATCGACACATGCATGGAAATTTAAACATTGGAATACATTATTGTATAAAACTTCTACCTTGAATAGGGTATTGCTTTTGAATTGTATTATACGTTCAATAATGTTTTGTGTTTAAATAAGAACTTTTTTTGACATGACACAATCATGATAAAAATTCTAAAAAATTTTACTTGTCACGAACATGAATCTTGTTCCGTTGTAATTTGATGATGAAAACATCGTGATCAGATCGGATTTACGACATTTACCCTTACTATCGCAAGTGCATTTGCCAGCTGCATTGACTGGGGGTATGGTACATTCCCAATTTCCCAGAGGGAGGAAAAGGAACGGCTTTGCATGTCTGCAGATGGTTGACTTGTAGTTACTGTGTCTATTAAGAAGGATTTGAAGTGCGAAATCCATTACCGTTTCATGCACATGAAGGGATTTCTAAGGAAAGAAGTACGGTCCTTTATCAGCTTTCCAGACATTATTACAATATGGGACCTAATCTTTGTGTAGGAAATTTCATCCGATGCAGGGAGATTACAAGTCAATTGCACCTTGCCAGCGGGGAGGAAGTCATACTCATGTCTTCAGCATGAAGGAGTCCCGACAACAATCAATGAAGAGCAATGGCAAAAATGGTACAAAGATGTTTTGCAAGGGACACTGCGAGAGTGAGGCCTACATTGACCAGCTAACAGCTCCTTAACTACTGTCCAAAAGAATCTAAAGAGAAGAATCACAGTTACACTTATAATCAGACCATGAGAGACCCGCAAGGCAAACAACCAACTCTATGAAGGTCAGTTTATTGATTTCACCAGACTTTATAATGCAACAACGTCCCTCCAATGCCGTATGTGCCGAGACCAGGAACCTCTTCTCATAAGCATCTTCCTGAACGGGGATCCCCGGTCCATATATCAAACAGCAGCGTTCACTGAATGAACCAGCAAGTCTAGAGACTACTTCCCTGAAAAACATGGAGGCGGCCTGCCAAAAGGGAAGCCATTGTCAATTCAAAGTGTTGGCAGATGATTTTCAGTCCAACGGAGACATTAAGTAACCAGCCAAATTAAGGTCCAATTAACAGTCGATTGCACCCATCATTTGTAGATGCATTCTTCAGTCATGAGTATAACATCAGAAGACATACATGGTCGATAATAGATTTAACACCTACATCATGAACAACCGTACATGCGGAGATGAGGTCTGAGACGCACTCAAACTTATAACAATAAAAACAAAACTCCTAATGAGTCCTGTAAATGCAAAATGAGGATGATACAGACATAGGATCTGATGACCATATCAACTGATGGACAATACAAATCAGTTGCAACATAGTCACTTGTATAAGCTCAAGAGATCATACTACGGCACCCTCACAGTGAACGACTCGAGAGGCCCTCCCAAGGGGCCAGAAGTTCCCCTAGCAACAAAACAAACGTGAATTTAATTATCTAATATGTAGCCTTCCTTTCACAAATATTAACAATCTGTGTGTGAATCAATCACCCCTAGTGGACCAAAAGAAATAATGAAAAATCGTAAGAGAAGAAACAAAAGTAGGATTCATTAGGCAAAAAAGCCTCAACCAAAAGAAAGGAGTTGCACATGTATGATTCACCAAAAAGTTTGCAAATCAAATAAATAAAATATAGAGAACAGAAGGTCTGGCAAAAAAAGGATTATTTCAAAGTTCACATGGATAGAAACATGTAAATCAATCGTCAACACTAACAGAGGAGAGCCCCATACTTGTTGGTAGAGTGGTGATTGAAACTTGAAATCCACCAAAAAGTAAATGTTGCAAGATCCTGGAACTGGCTATGAATTGAATTGCCAAATATTTATCAGATGGTCAAAGAGGGTGCTCTGCAACACTGCAGTCTAGAAGCGGCAGAAAAATAACATCGGAAGGATCGAAGTTCAAATAGAGAGAGAGAGAGAGAGAGTATTTAATACATGATCGCCTACACCAGTTGCTCATATAATATGACTGCATAACCAGTACTCAATAACCAGAAGACATCAAATCACCTCAGATAAAAAGGCTCCTTAAGACATTAAAAAGTCATGAACATAGTATAAACTATATCATTGGATTGCCAGCCGGCATCGTCCTCGGCTTCACATTCGGTTTTGGGGCGATAGTGAGTGCTTGATCAATTATATTGGACTACTAGCATGCGATGGAACAAAATCAGCTTTCATGTCATCTGAGATATTACAAAGCAAGACATCTAAGAACGACTTGTAGGGTGCCTGGAAACAATTATCACATTTTTGCAGGGCAGCCATTGTCCGGTTTCCGACTTATGAAGTTTCTGTTTCTTGATTTTAATTCGAAAAAAAGAGAATGTTCGGGCTCGGTCCGTGGCTAATAACATGACAGCTCCTCAAGGATAGCAAGAAGAGAGTCGAATGAAATTATACACTAACTTCAATTCATTTGACTTTGATTCTTTCCCGCATAACCCGCATTCATCTCCACGTTTGCAGGCGATTTGGTCAGGAATGATCGGAGGCACCTGTCTGCAAACTATCATCCTAGTAATTGCCACTTCCATAACCAACTGGAACAGAGAAGTAAGTTCCCTTCCCTTTCGACATAAACATTAGACATCGTCAGTTCATCATCCATCGGTTGCCTTCGTTCTCTTCTGTTTGTACCGCGAGTTTCTTCTACAAGCTTTATAAAATCCACAATTATTGCGTTAGAAATCAATGCTCCATCGGATTTCAGGCTGAGGAAGCAGCGAGTCGCATGAGGAAATGGGGAGGATAAGCTGTGGAGCATTGATATATCAGAGCCATCACGTTGAAATCAGAAGCTCCTGATGCCAATGCCTTAAAAGCTGCTTTGCAGTGACCAAAGTGCCATGTTATTTTAATTTTGCTAATACAATTTTAGAGTCGTTTCTCTCGAAAAAAGACTGATCAAGTCGGCTCTGCTCTGGCAACTGAAGTGCATCTTCTGTATTCAAGTGTGCTCAATGATTCATTTAGTTGTTTTGCGGTGATTTGAATATCCATTACAATGTTTACGCCGAGGGGCTTGAGCGAGATGGTTCGAAGATCGACATAGTTTCGCGCCAAAGACTTTCTAAATGCTGGTCTAACCTTATTAGTTCTTTTAAATGTTCTCTGTGCACTGTTGTCTCACTGGAAGAAAAGGCCATTTCTTTTATAATCTTGCTGAAGTTTTGAAGACATCATGCTGTTCTTCATAGTCTCTGAAAAGATATAAACTCACGTTCCCCTAAAAATGAAATAATCTGCAGAAACTATGCTTTAGCGCAAAGAAGAACCACAGAAATCATAAGGGATCAATCACCAATTCTTCGACGTGTTGACTTTTGCGATCGTGCGACCATTTCTCGTATGATTCAAGACATGGCCAGACAATATCACTGTACTTTACTCATGTTTCAACTGCTCTTCATTTCCCATCATCTCATCTGATGACCCCGATTAATCATCAAATGATTGAGTTTTCCACATTTTCTCTTACTAATGTCAAGGGAACAAAGATAGACTACTAAAGCTAGCACACAAAATTGCGCGAAAAAAAATAAGACATGTTCAAGCATCTTACTCCTCAAAATTGTTTGGTAATATCGGAAACGTTATTGGAATGTCCATGGTTTAGATTCACGTCACGACCTGAGTGAGCTGGTTGCTGTGAGCTTGGCACTAGCTGACGTAGAGCTATGCGCGTGTAATGCACACAAGCTGGATGCGAAATGCACGCGGGATGTGCATGCACGGACAAGTGCACTACATGGGCTAAACATGAATGAGTAAAGACCAAGTAAAGTCTAGGTACATTCTCTTGAACTATGTGGCCAGTTCATGTATTACGATTAACCAAAGTACGTTCAAAGGAGGAGGGTGAACCTTATCAAATACAATATGATGTGTTAGGAAGCATCCAGCATGTATGTATCTAGTTCTACCCGTTCATGTTCTTGGAACAATAGCAACAATATATATGAGTGCAGGAGAGTCATCTCTAAATATCATTTGAATCCTTGAATTCTTTGATTAGT